ATACATAACAAAAAATAAAGATCAGAGAGGCAGTGATGCTCACCACTACGGTTACCACTGTTGGTTGGATTAAAGAGATTGGAGTTGTATTGTGAGAAACCCAGAGAGGCTGTTTGATTTCCATGTTGAAAGTACAGTAATGTAAAACATTCTAAAGGGTGTAGAGGGCCTGACTGCCCTCCGGACACACTCAAGCTAAATGCCAAAATTTTCTAGTGTATACCAGAAACTTTACCTTTTTTTGAGCTAGTTCATAGTCAACTTCCTCTTCACCCAGGCCCATCTCTGCCATCTCAGATTGGTCTTTCAACTTGTTCAGCAGCTCTGCCTTGGCCACAGAAATATTGTAATAAGCTGAGTAAGAGGTAGGGATTACTGGAGCCCCGGGAGGAGGTGAGAAGTGCTGAAACTCTTGTCTGTGGAAAGAAAGAGTGATCATTTGAGCTCCTCTGTTGAGAGGTTGCTGACCTTTCTGGTTTAATTTCCCCATATGTAAAAAGATACACAGATTCACCAAAGAGTTGTAAAATAATGATGATGATGATGATGATGATGATGATGGTAATAATGGTTCGACTGGCACTACTCAAACATACACAGGTCACATGGCTATCTAGAAGCCAGGTAAAGGCAAACTTCAAGAATCTAGAAGTCTATTTCTATGCCTCTGACTTTAGCAGCTAGGGAGACTTCTTTGGAGATAATATGGTTTGGTCATTAACGCCCCATTAAAATCCAGAAAAACTGGTAGGCTCTGAAAATTCTGGGCTTTTTTTCATCAGTAATTCCCCTTGGTTCATGGCACCAGTGTATGAACCCTAAAGGAGGGACTGGGTAGTAGAAAAGCATCTAAGATCTTAGCTATCAGTCTTCTAAGCTTGTTGGCCTCCTTCCTACCCATCCACAGACCTCTACTCACTCCATCTCTATCTAGGGTGCCTGCTTATAAAGGTACCCTGTGGCTTTCCTAGATACTCATTTCTTCTTTCCTGATGTCAATTCTGCTTGAAATGGCCCCTCCACTGAAGATTTACCACAGCAAAGAGGTCGCCCATGATCTCAGTCGTGGTCACCATGTTGGAGGCTGGGGTTAGCACTCCTGCCAGGGACCTGTCATTGCCCTCTCATGAGTTCATCTGAGACTGCCTGCTGCAGGGTAGCCCTTCAGCCTGAGAAAAACTAGCATCTCTCTACTTCTGGCATATCCCCAGTGATCCAAGCCTCCTGCATAGTTGTAGAATGAAATGGAAAAAATTGAACCAGTGATGCTCAGGGGTCTGACAAGTGTAGCAGCAGACCTTGTTGCCTTGAGTTCACCAAAGTCTGCAGGGCCGAGGTGTTGTTTCTCAGAACCACAGCCCATGAAAGAGAATTTCTCCTCAGGAAAGAAGTAGCTCTGGCTCCATGCTGGCTTGGGTTTGGACTCTTCTGCCAGTGATGCTTCTGATCTGGTGGGAAGAAGAGAGTAAAGAGAAATGTTACAATGTCAGGTTTCGGTGATGGAGGGATAAATAATTCCACCTAGGGTTTATGCAAGATGGAACCCCACCCCCAGTATATTCTCTTTACCTAGCAGCCACCTCCACCCTCCACCTGTTTCTCACTACCTTTGTTAAACTTTCGTTTTTTGAAAGGGAAAATAAGAAAAATTCAATCATTCTTGCAGATATATGCAGCTCTTAGATAAAGGTTAAAAATAACAGTTAAAAGGCTCCACAGCTATTTACTGATTCATAGTATGCAGTCTCCTAATTCACCACACAGAAAAAACCTGGGTGTGCCATTATTCCACATCCTAGCTAAATTGATTTTACATGTAAGGTTTCAAGCTCATAACACTGATGGTGGAACAATACTAGCTGATATTCACACAGTGCTTACCATGTCTTAGAAACTGTCCTAAAATAGAGATAAGCATATGAGCATGTTTGTGCGCATACACACACACACACACACACACACACACACACACGTGTGGGAATATAGATGTATAATTGAATGCTCACCAAAACCACTTAGCAAATGAGAAACATGAATCTTCAAGAGGTAAAGTGATTATCCCAAGGTCACCAGACAGTAAATGGAAGACATTATTTCCACCGGGGCAGCACAATTCCACAATTTGTGCTTTTGGTCATTACACCATATTAACAGAGGGACAAACTGATATCCTATGAAATGTTAGGTATAAAGAATTTTCTGGCTGGTGTACATATATGTTAGGAGAGAAGAGAGAACATTCCGGAAGGAATAGGAAGATATTAACTTAGTGAATTCCTATCTGTAAGAAAAATATTTAGGCATGTATGAAAGTTTTGAATCAGGAATTGTAAATGAGGTGCAACCACTGTGGAAATCAGCATGGAGATACCTCAAAGAACTAGGACTGGAAGTCCCATTTGACCCAGCTATTCCCCTGCTGGGTATCTTCCCCAAAGAATTAAAAGAATCATACCA